CAATAATTATAATTAGATTAAAGTAATCAAAAGTATTAAATTAGCAAAATATTTAAATTATCGCAGATGAGCAGATATGTTTCAAATAAATAAATGTCCGATTTTTACCTAGATACAGTATTAAATGAGCCGGTTCTTGAACTGCTTCGAAACCTTCTAACTAAATTATATTATAGGTTAAATATGATTGCAGTAAACATTTTAGGTTATTGAAACCAACTTGAATTTAATGTTAAAAGGCGACAATTATTACAATTCGCTTTCATTCGCTGAAAGATTATAATAATTGAAATTATAATACTAAATATTCAGAAACATGCACTTATTTTAAAATATTTATATCTACCTAAACGTTTGTCATTTAACGGACCTAACGATTAATAAACGATGTCTACTGATAATTTGATATTCCGAACAACAAATCGATATCTGATCGACTTTCAACGCAGATATGTATATAGAAGTTATCAATGTCAGAGGTTCTCGGTCGCGCGGGCAGCGGTGTAGCCGTCCTCTCGGTTCTTCAAACGGCACAAAATTTATTGTTATTGGATCGGCGCGCGTACATGCATCCACACTCCGCGGCTATCACGAAGGTACAACTTTATCGGAGGGCCGGACTATTCCAGAAAAGAAAAAATCCAGAGCTTTCGTGCCCATTTCTGTAAATGATTTTTGGAGATTTGGAATTTTTACACATCGATCCAACAGTTTCTTTACTCCAACAGTGAGCGACAGAATTATTGAACCTGCTACAGCTAGTCTGTTTTTTGATTAGATTTATTTCGTTCGCGTATTGGAAAAATGATACAAAAGAATAATATTGGCAGCTTGAAATATTATTTTTCCCCTTTAATGCGCCGTTTACCTTAATGGTGAAAATAAAATATAAACAGTAAAAGCACTTCATTTATATAACAAAACTAAGAATTTGCAATAAATAAAACATATTTATTGCATCGATACCGACACTATTAAAAGTATATGGGCATCTTTCCAGAATAGGACTGCTACCTTCAGTTGAAGAGCATATTCCATTTAGCACCGGCGGCAATATTTTAATGATAGGATAAATATCATAGAATATCATAATATGGACACCCCTGTACGGACACAGTAACAATAATATGATTACTAAATTAATATCCATATAAATGTCGCTATGGTAGGGCCACGCAACGTACGAGAAGGGGTAAGTACCACGACCTCACAAAAGACAGTGGTAGTTTCTTGTATTTACGCGATTACACGTTACTAAATGAAACTATGTTTACGGATTTATCGTGTTTATTATATCGTCACTGGACAGTCTGTCCCGTGACCATGATCGCTGTAAAGGGTTGGAAACGTCGAGAATTTAAACCAAAAATAAACGCAACTATGTTTACGGATTGTAAAAACATTCACTCTAGAAACATTACATTCATTCAATCAAACATCTCATCTTAATCCAAATTTAATCAGCCTGCATTATTTATTAATTAATATTATGTTAGTTTCGTCATTTCCTTCGAAGTGGGAAAAAAGTTACTTCGTTCAAAACTAAAGCAAATTAATTAATGGAACCAGGAAACTGTAAAATGTAAAAAGTATCTAAAGGGTGACCCTGACAAGGATTAAAAGACACTAAAGGATGACCCTGATTCCTACGAACTAACTTGATTTAAAAACATCAGACGTAAAGATAATTTAATTAGGTAGTTATTTACGCATCATTGTGCAATGTAACCGTAAAGCATTAGTAGGCATTAGACATTACAATGTTGACTTACATAAGTAGAAATCATTATCTACGTACGTTTAGATATAAACAAACTCCCAGACAATTTGCTTCTATTGCATTCCTTGACGTTCGGTAGCGAGCGTTCACTCAGACTTAGTTCTACCTTGAAAATTATTAATAGAAATGATATCCCTCAAATTACATGTTCCGAGAAATACACAAAAAGCAATTTTATAAGTATAAAACTCATTCATACCGCTTTCGGCTGTTCCTTTGCCGTCTCGTGGCCGGTCAACGCCGCAAATCAAAGAATTACTATAAAGGACATTGATAAAATGCCTGACAAGTTGAAATCCGAGCGGGAATCCTTCACGTATCTAATTGATACATGCTTAGAGCAGAGAAGTTAACAAAAGAAAATCATACAGAGATTTACTGTCGGGGTTTCGTTCCACCGCGTTGTTTTTGTACCGAGTTCGGCTTTCTCTGACATGATTATCGATATCCGGGAAGACGGATTCGGGAATTTATTATTAACAATGGTGGAAAAAAGGATAATTGCTTTCGATGATACGATTGCAACAATTGAGAATTAAAAGGTGTATATTATAAGAATAAATCGTATACGAAAGGAAGAAACCTTCACGGCGTCAGTTATTATTTTGCCATCTGTTGAAAAAAAGAACAGAAATATAAAATACTGAATTAAGACAGTTCAAGTTTCTCTAAATATTTTATGTGTAAAGTATTAATTTGCGTTAAGATCCCTGTTGACCATTTTTATGAACTATGTAATCTGTGTTGTCTTATGTATGTTATATTTTTTATTTTATTTTCAGTTTAAGGCAGAGCACCTTATTCTCTAATTTAACTTTGTAATTATAAGTCAAAATGATGAATGTAACATTTTTACTCTCAACATTTTGATCAATAAGTATTTACTGTGTAAAAATGAGTATTAGGGTAGTAACTCTAAGTAACATTTAACAACTCCATAATTGCGCGCCGCGAACAACTTTAATTGTTCACAATTATGATAAAATGTCTAAATCCTTTGAGAGCCATGGATATTTTCGACACTTTTCGATTTTTTATACAAGTAATTCAGCATAATGTCTACTTAGTGATGCATTTTCAAAAGGAGGGTGGTATGAAACATCTATGTTCACCGTATTATTAGAGTTATAGAGAATGGTTCACACGTTAAGTCTATGTTACGCAGCAAATAATCTTCCCTATCTTGATCTTAAATTAAATGGATAAATAGATTTAAAAATAAATGATACTGACAAAAGTCTTGTATATTTATAACGTGTATGTTTGTAGCTTTTAATAAAGCTTGTTTTGACCAATCCACGTACAAAATCGTGCCTTTTCTACTACTGCTAAGACAGCAGTAGTAAGTCAAAAAAACTTTGCCCTTACTGTAGGATAACAATATCATGTGTTGTAAGGTCGTTTAACATAATTAAATTTTCTATTAAAATTCTAAAGATTTATTTGAGGGTGCCACAAATAGTATTAATGTGTGGAAATCGAACCCACTACCCCCGGAATCATGAAATTTGTTTTGTGAGAAGTTGGTAAGCGAGCAGGTGGTTCCCGTTACGTTACTTCATTACCGCCTTTCGAACGGCAGCTTCGGTAACAACCCGACGAGATTTTTTTCTACAAATTTTGCACCTGCAGAGATTAGCACTAAAAAAATTAATATAAACATGTTAATTTCACTTTTCTCTTAAATTATTTCTCTCATTTATATGCACTGTATACTTGAAGCATTTTGGTAATGATTAGAACAAGTCTAAGTTATTGGAATACAGTGAGAAGATGGAATCATTATTGAATCTGATGCTTGTAAAGAAAAGTTGATTTCAAAAGCTTGTGGTAATTAAAGTGATGAAACGAACACGAATTGGTGGACAGTTTCTAAATTATAATATGTGATGAATAATCGTACAATGTATACTTCCGATATTTTTATCTAGATAATATGAGAAGGTGAATCATTTACTTTTCTTAAAAAATGACTAGAAATTCATTAGATTTTTCACAATAAATATAATAGTTATTAAATAGAATGTCGTTTTTTAACTTATAAAATGGCTATTATTGTCGATTAAAAACTCAGTGATGTTAGCATTTATATTCTTCTCTATTTATTACAATTATTAACATAGCAACAGTAAAGGTGTTTCCAGAAAACACTGACCCAATTATTTTAGTTGAAGTGAATATTTTACTTGTGTTTTTTGTAGTTATCTAAACAAAAACTACTTTGCACCTGTTTGTGCAATGTAGGTACTACTGTCTTCAGCAATTATCCTCAATTCAGTTTCAGATCAAAATCAATAAATAACTTAAAAGAGTAAGACTTGAGTCTTCAGCATATTGGAATTTGGAAATATTGTGCAATGTCGAAAGTAAAACCTTAATACCTTCAAAACGAATATATATGAATCAAATGAATCATTAGAAAACATTTTTTTAGGATTTTGTAATAGGTGAAATTAAAGACATACGTTAGATAATTTGTATTTATTATTTAGGTACGCATGTAAATTCTCTACTATATGTTACAATATAATGTTTTTATTTAGATAATAAATAGTACACAGTGCTCTAGGAAGCTTAACGATAAATATTTACAAATGCTAACTAATATCATTACATTATAGTGCTCATGTAACATGTACGTTCTATTAGATTAAATTACAAACAGTTTAATTTCTAGTTGCCCATTATTATACTAACTTTTTATTATATTATAACATCCATGGTTACACAAAGAAGAGTGTAGGAACTATTGATTTGATTGAACCGTGCCTTTACCACCGTTATGCTTTGGTTAAACTTTACACACAATTATATTTTCAACTTATTAATAATGATTTTAATAACACATTCGAATCATAAATTCATTCGTAACTGAATACTCAGAATTTTTATATTCATTGACATTAAGGAAATTATATTAATCAACTTGAAATCTTTTAACATATTTATGAATCCATTCTCAAACAAGATATCTGTAACATAGAGTCTTTATAAAAGCAAAATTTATAAATAAAGCGACGTCGTTTGTGCATTGCCTAATTTACTGCTCATTCGTCTCAATTAAAATAATCAACAGCTTAATTCTCTACGTATTTACATAAATTTACAAGCAAACGGGAGTGTTAACACCCTAGGACGCAATTTACATAATTATAATATTCGGAACATCGACAGTAGTGAGAAAACGTAAATATATACATTTTATAGACCCGAAACATCAGCGGTCGTGCTTAGTAAGTTGTAAAGGCAGGTCACTCGAGGTCAATTGTCGCTGTCGGCAAGGGCTTGGGGTTCTGGACCTGGTCTTGTTTTGCTGCTTGTCTCCCTCGTCATCGCTCTCATCGTGGACGTTTATCTCTTCGTCAGAGTCGGAGTGGGATTCGTAGCCTCGAGCCAACTGTATCGACTGAGCGGCCAACAGCGCTGCAGCTGCGGAATGCGGCACGAGCGCTTTAAACGCGCTATTTTCTAATGCCGGATGGGGTTTAAACGCGCCGCCTTCGAAGGGCGTTTGCGAAAGCGCTTTTAGCGCGTTGCTCTCTAATTGCGCTTGATGTGACAAGGCCTTCAGGGCGTTAGTGTCTTGGTGCGATAGAGCTTTAAAGGCGCTGTTCTCGCCACCCATTTGGGGAGTGAGGTAAGGACCTCGTGCGGGGGACAAGGAACGCGAACGGGATCGGGAGGGGGAGTGGGGGAGGCGGTGCGAGGGCGAGCCGCCACCGCGCTTGAGTAGGTTCATGCGCTGATGGCGTCTCCACTTGGCTCGTCTGTTGGAAAACCAAACCTGTCAGTAACGGTAAACAAGCGTGATTAGTATTCTGTTCTCGCTGCGTTAACAAATTCATGTATGTAAATGGTAATGAAACGATAGCTCTGATTCGATTAAGCCAAGGCCTGACTTTTTTATATCACATAATATTAATTGGCTTTTGAGATCACATATATATTATAATATGGCGTTAGCTGTTGGATTACGTCTTGAATAAATTTTTACCTGTACACGGGCTTCCGACAGCGATGTTTTGGAAGCCAGACGTTCTCGCGTCGACACGCACGGGTAGTGAGATTTCTCGAATTCCTTCTCGAGTTCTTCGAGTTGATCCGGACTGAAGGTGGTACGATTCCTACGGAATTTCGGCTGCTCTCCATCCAGAGATCCAGAGTCATCGCCGTCGACATCTGTTAGTAAAAAAATATAATATTTCTTGTCATATACGTAGAATAAAACGACTATACATATATTATCCTTAAACATTTAATGACATTTCGGAATGGTAAGTCCGTCCGGGTAAGTACTATGACCTCACAGAAGACCGGCCTGAAGTGGAAGCATTACACTTCTTCGTTTCGTCTGGTGAGTGAGGTAGCCGGGGCTCACTTTATTAAAAGGTGGCAACGCATCTACAACTCTGTGGGTATTCCAAATGTCTACGGGCGGCATTTATAACTTTTCATCGGGTGAATCGCCAGCTCTCTAGCTACCTTCTCACGTACAAAAATACGTAATATTTTATTTCGGACCGGAATACCCATATTTATCTGTGCATCGTATTGGTAAAGAATAATATTATTAAATTTCGCCCAATTCGTACCGACAAGACCACGGCCCGACGACGACAAGAATCCCTGTTGTACAGCATCGGGATGTTGCATTCCGACCGTCGGGGGTGGTACTCCTGGTGGCAGGGGAAGTCCACCGGGGGGCCAAACACCGCCGCCCCCTCCCCAGGGGAATCCCCCATACGGAGGGGGAGCAGCGTACAGCCCGTAGCCAGCAGCCCTGGCGAACTCTGCTGCAGCCCGTTCGGCAGCTCTGTTCCTTAATATCCTGTTGATTGACGAAACGCTGGGCGCGGTGGCGTTCGTGCATACACCTAAAGAAAATAAAAAAAAAATCTTTTAAATAAAATAAAAAAAGAAGTGTCCGAGTGTCGTGGAACACTCGAAACGAAATTCCTTTCGTAGTATGTTCTTATTGATAAACGTTTTATATTTCCAAAACTAAAAATTTTATTTTATTTTATTTTTTTCTTCTGCTTGCCTTGTGACACATTAGTTTCAAAAATTTGACTGATTTCCTACGTCTTATACTTTGCCGTTTTTGAAACTAACATTTTGTATCATTACAGAAAACTTCTTCCTATTGACAAATACAGCTGTGGTCAGTTTAACTTTAACTGTGGTAAAGCCATGCAGCAGCATGGTGTTTCACAAATGAGCAGGCTCGCCAGGGAAGGTACCGCGGCCTCATATAAGACTGGAGTAAAATGGAAGCGTTAAATATTTTTCTTTCGCCTGGTGAGTGAGGAAGCCGGAATCCACTTTCTTTTTAAGGTTGGTAACTAATTGCAACTTCACCGGTGCTGTAGAGGTCCATGAGCGTCGGTAGTCACTATACATCAGTAAAAGCGCCGGTTAGACTGACGACTATTCACATGAAAAAGGAATATTTTTTGGCTATGAGGGTTCAAAAAAATCACAAACATTTCTTTTATGCGAGAAGGTGGCAAACAAGCTGGTTCACCTGATGTTAAGTGATAACCGCGTTGCCACATTTTAATAAAGTGAGCCCCGGCGACCTCACTCACCAGTCCAAACGCAGAAGTATAATATGTCTACTTCATGCCGGTTTTCTTTGAGGTTTACGCCAGTCTTCGTGCAACAGCGAAAACTGTTGCGGAGCCCCACTACCGTAAATCGTTTACTAGTTTGTTTTTAGCAGCACGAACATAATCGAAGGCTCTAGAACGAACTCGAAGGCTGACCACTAAACCGCAAACAGAAATGTTTGCCCGCTCAGCTGTCATAACATTCATCGTAAATATTTCACTATTTTAGAATTATATATAATGACATGAACACGTCGATTATTTTAAATGTAATAAGAGTTGTTTTTCTCGAACATGATGATGCAATTTGTCATCAGTACTAAGTTCGTTTCTATATTTGTCTGGAGTTTAAAACCTAAGGCTTTGACCAGTACATAAGCGATAGTGGCATAATTATGGAAGTCAGTGATATTTCTTAAGTAAAGTACAGATAATTGTAACGCGCGCATAATACGAGTGACCAGCGGCGCGTTAAAACCGATGCGTCATTCATTGGTCGCGTTTTAAAATCGTTCGCCATTATGCCGTTTAAGGCCCTGCTCAAACTAATATTGACGCACACCTTTTTATTTATTTAACTTCGATAGTGATTTAAATTCTCAGTCAAGAGAATTTAAATCAGTGTCGAATCTGCAGCTGACGGAATCGTTAAATTAATTAGTTATAGTTACATTACACTAAATAATGAGTTTATTTACATGAGATATACGGTTAATATAAAAAGTGTCTAATCTTAAAGGAATATTAATAGGAGAGCCTATTATTCTACAATATAGTGAACAGTTTTAAGATCACACAATAAACAAAAGTTTTAAAGACCGTAAAAATAAGAACGATTTTTGTAGCCGATATTTTAGTCCAATATTTTGTAACTGAACTAAACTTGGAACGTTACAAAACCTAAATGAACGAAAAGTTTACGTTATGACTGTATATCTTGATTACTGAACTTTAATTTAAAGAGATGGTGGCAAATAAGCTTGAGGATAAGACACGGAAGATAAGTGATACCGTCGCTCATTGAAATACAAAATACCATTCTTATCAGTCATAAAGCTTAAGTACGATTCATTTTAATGGTAGTTATTTTAGTGGTACTTATATCTTTATCAGTTTTATCAAAACTTATGTTTTAAAAATAGATAGACAAAATTTATGCGTGACTAAGTATTTAACGTACTTGTGGTCCACTGCGCTGGTGGAGTTTACTTTTAAAGTATCCGAAGATGTCCATTAGAAAACGCCAGTGCTAGATCAGGAACTTACTGTTGAAGTATACGAAGATGCTCATTAGGACAGCACTAGTTTGAAATCAACCTAATGCGTGCAGCGAGATCGCGTGCTCGCGCAGCCTTGCGAGAGGCATCCCATGTAATTTTCAGGAAACACTCGGAGTAAATGCCATAATTTAATCATAGCCTGTACGTTTGTAATTGTCGTAGGATTCGTTGTTCAGCTACTGATCGCGTTGCGTGGCCAATACGCTACTATTATCGTCAACCGGCTTCGATTGATCTTCGAATTGTTACGCAACAGCTTGCGTTAAAATAACTTTTATTTAAAAACGAACAACTGTGAACAGTTTATAAATATTTTATTGCTATCACCTTAAGCTCAACTATTACTCAACCTAGTATAAAATTAAAGAGTTCTCTCAACGAATCAGATTTTATCATTATTTCTATACATGTATCCTTACTTCTGTTGGAAAACGATAGAATTCCATCGGCATTATGGAGTATATTTGAACGATAAAGCAGATAAGAGTCCTGCAAGATTTCTTCGTTTTTCTTTTCAATAAAGGTGAGTGCTAAGTCAGAAATATGTTACCACAAAGGCATGACTTCCTTATACTTTTGTTTTCAATAACGGCATGACCATTTCAATAGTCAATCAGTCATTCAGAGAGCACGGAATCGGTTAACTCGCTGTCTTCTCAGGCAATGCTTCGTCTCTTTCAAAGGTCGATGAATAATGCTTACTGTCGAGTACTATATGCAAAGTTGTACCAAGTAAGCTCCTTTGCTGCCAACTAGTGTTCAAGTAATAATAAGTACACGGTGAAAAATGTATTTTCATAAATATATTTTTATTGAAGTAGCAACGTGCTACTGTGTACTGGTGTTATTAAATACGGACAGTGCCTAGTCCTGGCAGAACAAAAACATAAGGTATCAAATGCATAGTCGAAAATCGGGGAAAATGTCCTAATAGGATAGAATCTTGTATTAACTGATGTTTTTGCTTTCAGTCCCGAGACTATTAAAGCTTCAACTGACGCAGAACCGGTGGGTTAGCCAGAACCCACGGGTTTGGGGCCTCCGCCGTCGGTAGAGCCGCGCATGTGCTCATGCGTGCGTTTAACTATGGTATGCCATCTAAGGGTCATCGAGGGGTGGTTCGGACCGGGACCCCGATGGCCGTAGACTGTAACAAAGAAATATTCATCAGTGGACTACTTGTTGCTTGATACTTATTTTATATTTAACTATAATTATTTTCTTATCGGACTTTTGTGATTCCGAGAAGTAAACTAAAGTCAAAGCGGCACAAAGAAAATAAAAGGGAGTCAGATACCCTTTTCATTCATCATCATTTAAATTTCTTATGATACACAGAAATTGTCATAATTACGTTTATGTTCTTCATCCTTTAATTTTGCAATAGACGCAATTTGCACGTATCTAGTTAAAAGGGGCTATTAAATTTGTTATTTAAACTTGTCTTTTCTACTTACAATAATTATGTCTAAGAACAACAGTTCACTATAATTGCTTAATTGAGTACTTTGTGTCGGACAACTTTGTGTCAAAGAGGTCAGAAAACAGAAGGAATTATTCGTGATATTGTAAGTATTACTTCTCTTTATAAAAGTATTTTTGAGATACATTAACAGTCGAACATTATCAGCTCCGCAGGTTCTGTCCAATACCTAAATTTTAAATTATTAATAATAAAACATTTAAAAATAACGTAGACATACAAAAAAAGTTACAATGTTTTTAACATAAATTTGAATTCTATAAATGGTTTTGTTCACCGTGTGAAGAAGAAAACTTTCTAAATCATATAAAAGAAACATAGAACTGCTTTAGGTATCATGGTTTTCTTAATACAACTGTAGTAGGTTCCGTCATCGACAGACCCCTACCGCTAGGTACGTTCCGTCGCAAATGGCGTAGACTGCGACACGTGGTTGATTTACCTTACGATGAGATGAATGTCGCCATCGATAGGATAAAGCAATTACCTGGTAGGTTTTCCCCCGTGGCGGAAGAAATCCCAACAACGCTTGTATCTTAAGCGTTGTTGGAATTTCTTCCGCCTTCCATATCTCCTTCCTTCCGCCTCTTCTACCAGCGCCAACGCTTCCGAAGTGGTAGTAATGATAGCTATTCAAATTTTTACAGTCAAACTATAGCTACCGATCGAGCCAAGGTCCGGTCCCTCGGGCAACCTCGATTCGGAATGCTAAACGGGTACGAGATTAGTCACCTATAATCAAGCTTCAGGCTAGGCGCAGTCAGCGCCCGGCCACTTCAAGCCCAGACGATCTGTAAAGGCCTCCCAAGGCCAACAATGGTTGACCCAGCCAAAAAAATCGTGATAGCTCAGTGTGCGGGCGTTCGCTTTTAATTCAATCCGTGGGTCACACTAAAAGTTCTTAGACAATGATAAAACGGGTCAATGTAGAAAGTTACCAATATTTTTATTGATGTTCGAAGTGGTCTGCGTTCCTCTCTATACATCCTCGCTTCCGATAAAACTGCTTAGAAAAGCAGTGGGCCCATTCTTCCGTAGTGGTCACTTCTAAGGCATTTTCGAAAGCACTCACCGCAACTTCAGGACAGACGAAACGCTGTCGTGGTGCTTACCCGGAGGGACCTGCCCATTCGTGCAAAAGTGTTGCGTGACCCTACCACCGTAAATACATGCCAGTTTTCAGTAACAGTCCTTCCATCTTCTAGTACAACTGTCGCCAATGAACTTCAATGACTTTCGCGATACCAATCCATGCGAAGACGTTTCTGATCTTCGTTTATAGTATGGAGAAACCATCTGGTTTTTGGAATTGCCACAATTTCCCAAAAAAAATGACAAATGACTGCTGTAATAGGTTACCCAAGAGTACTATAATCAAAATTTAAAAGAAGGTTTCATTGGCAATGTTGCTAACTGGCCAGTTCTAAAAACTTTCAGTGTTGCCATGGTATACTGGAGCAACCTGAGTTCAAAATTACGGTACCATCACTAATGTATTAGTT